TCTCAACAAGCATCTGCTGAACCCCAGGTCCAAGAGATGAGAAACGGTCCTTTTAGATGTCTGGAAATGGTCATGTACCCGTCCTGCCTGCAGCACGGTCCCCCCGCTGGCGATGCCGGCTGCTGGCAGCAGGTGTCAGCAGTCAGTGTGGCTGAGGACTGCAGATTTGGGTACAGGAAGGTCTTTCCCAGCTTTGCTCTTGCATGGTGACCCGCAAATGAGCAGGAAGAGTTTGAAAAATGAAGGATGTTTTGGGTAAATTGTGGGGTAGTTCCAGCCCAGCTTTAATGCTTAGTGGGGCCATGGTGTGATTTGGGAAAGATATCCACAGGCCATCTTCTGCTTCTTCAAAGCTCAGTGTAGCTGAGAACATAGATCTGTGTTATGTGCAGCCATAAAATGAGGTGTTGGCTCTAATAAGAGTGAGGATTCATGCTGCAAATCCACTTGCAGCTCCAATGCCCACCAGCTCCTGTGCTACCTCCCACATCACCTTCTGCATCCCTCCAACACCTTTCCTGCCGCTGCAGGAAGGGCAGATGCTGGGGGTGAGGCTGCAGAGCCTGCAAACTGGGAGTGTGGGGGCAGGATGACAAAGAGCTGCTGCTGGCTCCATTCCCCAACTCTTATTCTGCTTTGCGGAGCAGAAAAGCTATGGAGCGTGCAGGATCTCTGGTTCAGCTGGTTGCTAATGCTGAAAAGTCTGGCGAGTGCTGCCATGCTCCCACAGAGCCAGGGGTTTTGCTGTTTAGATGGGCTGAGGCTTTGTGTTTTATTTCAGTTTTGTTCTTTTTCTAAAGGTGAAGCTGCTGCAGGAAAGCCTTTGAGGCTTAAGGATCTCAGGGTGATTTAGGAAACATGGAGACCTTTGTGTCACAACAAGAATGGGATTTATTTGTAAAGCATGTGGGTGTTGAAAGGTCGGGTTTATAAAGAAGAAAAAAAAAAAGGGAAAAAAATCAGCCAGGGCTAAGACTGCCACAGGCTCCGTTGTGGTTACAGCCAAACACAGCAGATTTTCTGGTAGACAATGTCATTGCCTAATTGCTGTTCGATGACATCTGCAGTTCAGGGTGCAGCTCTGCAATGCACGGATTCCGGCAGGGGCAGGAGCCACCTCAGAGCAAAGCAATGCTGGGGTTTTTCTGATCGTTGCTACAATTCCGATGGTTCACTCTTTTTTCACATCAAAGGCATACAGACAAGTATAATGGATGGGCGGTGAGCTGTGAGGAGTAACGTGCTGAAAATTGAAGCTCTTTGAAATGAAGGCTGTCTTTGTTTGTGTGTTTATGATGCCTGAGTGCACAGTCATCAGTTAAACAGCAGTGAGCATTACCTGTTTTCTTCTGCCACTGCATATTGCTTAAGCAGGGAGTTTCTAGGGACTGTAAAACAATTGGCTCATGCTTTCCTTAATAAAACTGGATGATCTCATGGTAGTTTTACTGCCTTTATAATCAGAACATGTCAACCTTATGTTTTCCAAGGAGAAGCCTGTAAGGCAAAGCGTTATCCTTGGATAGAAGACCGCTTCTTGCTGGAGAAACACATGATGGCAAACCCAGCGTACAGCTCCTGGGATGAGCTAAAGAAGGACGCCAAGGGAGGAGAGGTGGCTTGGGCAGAGATGTCTCCTCTGCTGCAGCAGGAGAAACACAGAGCAGCCGTGTCCATCGCCCCGGCTGAAGGCCAGCAGTGTGGGTGACTCAGGGGCTGAATCAGAGGAGGGGTGTCCTGGTTCTGGTCCTCTGGCACCCTGGTGATGCCAGGCAGCCACAACCTTCAGTTCCCATCTGTGTCAGCAGCTCCTGGCACTGCTTGATGCCCTGAAGATGACTGGTCCACCCACCTCCGCTCTGGGGAAACAGCACCTATATTGTGTCTTAAGGCAATTTCCTGCCTCTTTTGCCTCCTGCTCTCCCTTGCAGTGCTTCCATCCCTTTCTGCTCACGGGGCTGTTCATGCACATGTTCAATTCTAATAGGTCTTTTGAATGTTTGATCTAGCAAAGTTCCCCAAGCCTTGGGGGAAATCAAAACTGCACAGAGATCTGTCTAATTAGGGACAGATTAGAAATGCACCCTGTGTGATCCAAGATGGCGCAAACATGCTCTCTTGCTCCCACTCTCTCTGCCTACCCCCACATCTCTTGACTTTTCTGCTAGTTCTCTTTAATAATTTAAGAGCATTTCTTGGAGCACTCTCTGCTGAGTATCTTGCTATCGCCTTTGCTCTCCAATTTCTCTTTCTCCTATAGAACCAGCCTTGCAGCGTTTCAGTTTCCAGAGAGGCAGAAGTAAAAATATTGTGGAGAAAATGAACTTCAATTTAATTTCTCTAAGTCTCAATTCACTCAAAGAGGGACATCAGTCTTCTGCCACATAATGCTGGTTGGGACTCCTCTGATCTAGGCATGGATTTGCCTGCAAGAAAACATGATTTTCTTCTCTAAGTCTTCCTACAAAGCTATTTGTCCTGTGTCCACCGGGTGTGGACTGAGTGGGAAACCTCAGGGAAAACCACAACTCATTTATTGCTTAAATGAAAATTGAAAAACAAGATTTCAAATTTTATCTTTTATAAACAACCATTGCTGCCTGTGGAAGAATGAATGTAACAGAGGGATTCAATCTTTGTAAACAAGAGGCAAATGCATCAAAACAGACCCTGGAGCATATGACAGGGCTTTAAGTTTGACCTGGCATTGGAGGAGCAGTGAAGGAGAAGCTGAAGCAACTTCTCTGCTGCTAAGAGTTTTATTGGCACCAGGAGCTCTGTGAAAGAGACGCACAGGGGGTTTGAGGCCTTTGCTCTTTGTGTTTGTTTTTTATTAGAGCCATTGGTTTTGAGCAAGCATTTTCCTGCCCAGTGGATATTGCAGGACTAGGAAGCATGTGCACCGGGTGTTTCTGGAGCTCTGCAGCTCAGAGTCCCTCCCAGGCCGCCTGGGAGATGCATCCATCAATGCCAAGGTATCAAAGCATAATTCAATAGTGAGAAAACAAAATGGACCTTGTTTTAAGCCCTATGAACCACAGTATTTCCAGATTGCTCCGTTAACTTTGCCTGCTCTTAGCTCAGCATTAGCAAGGCCCTCTGTGCAGAGCATGATATGTTTATTTTGCAGAGCTAGAGGAAAATCTGTTTTGCTTCACTTTTAGGTACGTTTGGATTTGTTAATAGTTTCACAGGTGTGTTAGTACTCTCATCAGCCCTGCACAGGCTGGAGTTGCTCACTGATAAGGAAGGAGACATCCCAGGTGTCCTGTGGTGCTATGGACTCCCAGAAACCTCAGTATGAGAACTTGCAGAGGACAACAACAAACCCCTGGGCCTGGATGGAGATGCCTGGGACACAGACCTGAAAGCACTGAGCTATTTGTCTGCCCTACAACACCCACCAGAAGCACAAAGGGACTCCTGGTGAGCTGGAAATGTGAGGATCTGTGGGCTATAAACCAGATTAGCAGGCTGGAAAGGAGTAGGACCTAATCTACAAGTAAGCTTGTAGCTCACTGAGGGAAACCTTTCTCTCCTCTTGCAGTTTACCTGGTGTAGGGAACCTGCTTTGGCAAGGGGGTTGAACTCGATGATCTCTGGAGGTCCCTTCCAACCCCTATGATTCTGTGATTCTGTATTCAGGAGGTGTGTGGGCAAAGTGATCCTGCTGGGATCATCCAGCTGCATTTCTCAAAGGTAGTTGGCAAGGGTCCTCAGAAAAGGCTCCTAAAGAGAGGAAGGAGACCTGGAATACAAGAGGAGGCCCTTACTGGGAGAAATCTTTTGCTAAAAGGTAGAAGGAAACAGTTTCTATAGCAGAAAACACCAGGGTGCTGTGCAGAGATTGTGTTCAGCACATTCAAAAATGATCTGCAAAAGAAGGCAAATGCTGAAATTTGGTGTTGGTATTAAGTTTTTCAGGGTTGGTATGGATGAAGACCAACTGTGCAAAGAGAGTGGGCAATAAAAATGATGAAATTCAAATGTACATACATACAAAATTGTGCACAGGGGAAAAAAACAATTTTAACTCTATTTATAAAACAGTGGGTTCCGAGTTAAGTGTTACCATCTGGAACACTGGGGTTGTAACAGATTGTGCTATGAAAATGTCATTTCAGTGGTCAGTAGTCATCGAGAAAATAAATTGCAAGTGAGAATAAATAGGGAAAAATAGAGAGTAGAATATACCATGGCAGTTTCCTCCAACTGGAGGCATCAGGGGAAACCAGCAGTTCAAGCTGAAAGATCCTGAGGTCCTTTAGGCTGCTTTGGGTGAGAAGGAATGGTTCCTGCAGTTGGGAAGGAATGGATCCAGCTGCAGAGAGGCGGCTGCAGGCTGCTCTGGCCTAGCTCCAGGGGTTAATCCCACTAGGAAAGGGGACTGTGGGCTCCGTGCAGACGCACACTGCCTCGAGGGCAAAGCCATCTATCAGAAGTCCAGCCTATGCTGAGTCACCTCCGTCCTTCCCCAGCTCCATTGCAAGGCACTCTGTGGCTGACAGGCGACTCTCCCGTACCACCTGCAGAAGCCAGTGTGGTGACCTTTGCTGGCAAAAATCAATTTCTAAAATGGAATTTGTAATGTCTTTTGTAAAATATATTAACTGGGAAGATTCCTTTGGTGGCAAATAGCAGTTGGTAAGGTGAACTTCTGAGCTGCAGAGAGCAAGTTGTGGAGGAGCATTGCAGTGACAATTTCTGCCCCAGATGCTGGAACTTGGGTCAGTGAACCTCTCCCAAGCAGGAGACTTCAAGTGTGGGTGCCAGCTGTTTTTTCCTGAATTAGAAATATCATGTTTTTGCAATGAAGATATGGATTAAAAAATCTAGTGGAAATTTGGTCTCCGTTTGTAAGCAAGATTACTTTTGCTGCAGCCACCTTTCAAGCCATGTTTGTTCATTCTCAGGGTGACAGTGGACTTGCCTGCTCAGGAAGGGAATAGTTTGGCTGCAGTGTGATCACCACTGCAGTTGTTATTCCCAGGTGTGGTAAAACACTCTCTGGGTGGACCCAGTCTGTTGAGCATCCTGTCCAGGGGCTACTTAGCACCTGTATTCACTAGTGTATGGGAACTGATGAATCAAGGCCTGAACCTCTGATTGATTACCTGAGGCGAGCAATGAGTCAGCCACAGGAGCACAGGTGAAGGCAATTCACCTGTGCTGCCGGAAGGGGTGGAGCCTGACTGCACCTCTCCTAGACCCATTTATGAACTGACTACCAGTAGGGAAGGATCTCTTCTGGAGATCCCTCCTCTGGAGTTTCACAGTGAACCCCAGTCACAGGTAAGCTTTCTATCTATTCTCTTTTGGTAAAATAGCTGCTTTGCCAAACTCTCTGGTATATTTCATAATTATAATGTCTGTACATTCATTGATTATACAACTAGAAATTGTGCTTGATTGTAATCATGCCCCTTAAGAGGGTGAGCTGTGCTAAGCTTTGGGCTTGGGATCTGTGTTTTGGTGTTGGGAACTCAATTTTAACAAGACCACTGCAGGGGACAAAATTGGTATTCACCTTGCCTGTACAGCTTCCTTTGGCACCAACTCAGCAAGCAGTGGGCTTGGGTCTATTTCCCTGTTTCCCATAAAACCCCACTTTCATCATGTCCACTTCCACCCTGCACCAACTCCCTGAGCAGCTATTGTGTTGCTTTTCCCCAGCTTGAAACCAGGGTTGTGAGCCTTTGTTAATCAAATTTCCCTGCACCTTGTCCAGCTAAGCCTCTGTGTCCTGTAATTAAAGCACTGTACCCTTAGCTTCTGAGCTTTTGTTACAAGGCTGTGACAGAAAAGCTCCCTGCTTACCTGTTCCCAGCCTGGCTTGCAGTCCCTCATCACAACTTGGAAGATAGAAAACAGCTGCAGCTGCCAGCTGCAAAAGAAGAAAGATCTATATCGGGTTGGTTGTGTTTCCAGTTACAATCAGATGGGAACAAAAGACTTTAACCTGCTTTAAATACTGTGTTGATTCTTGCTGCTTGGAAGGTGACGGTCCTGGTCCCTGGGGCTGCCTTCTTTCTGTTAATCTCCCAGGAGCATTGTAGAGCTAGGCAGGAGCATGACTTAACCCTGTCACACTTCAGTAGGTGCTGTTAATTGCCCAGGACTCGTTTTTTCTGCTCTCTCTGTAATTGGTATCGCTTCATCCTTCCTAATCCTCCAGGTAACCCATCATCTCGCTCATCCTCACTGTTACTCATGTGCAGTTGCATGGTGTCGAGTGCAAGACCCAGTCCTCCAGCTACTGAAAATCAGATCAGGGTGGGATCTCAGGCATCACGTCATCTGACATGGATGAAATCTTCCCACAGCATTCATGAGGACCTTGTGAGCACATGAGGCTTTATACTTTTTTTTTTTTTCCTCTTGTAACATTAAAGCTATGTTTGCAGTTCAGACTCTACCCCAGGCTGATGGAGTAGTGAATTGCATCAAGATCTTTTCTCTCCAGCAGCAATAAGCCCTGAGAAGTGCATTGCTAACAGTCTTCCCTGTGCCTATTCCCAGGGAAATTCTCCTCCCCATAACCTGCACCTCCTGGTAAAGCAGAGCCCTGGGTTGGGCAGGAGTCCTGAAGGCACCAATGGGTCCAGTGGGTCATTGCTCGATTATGGTGCTGGTTACCCTCACCGGACCTCATGCTGACATATAGAAGACAAACTGATTGGAAATGTGATACTCTGTGCCTGGTTTGGCTGTGGTGATAAGGGAGTGGCGGTCGTCAGGATCCTGACAGGAGCAAGTTGTTGTGTTTGGGCAGTGGGCCGGTGGCATCCCGTGGGAAGCAGCTCTGGGGGTGAAGGAGCTCAGAAGGATTGGCAGGTTTGAGGATGGGGTCTTCCAAGGCCATCCCAAAACTGAGTGAAGGGTGCAGGGAGGGTGGGAGGAGGAGGGGGCTCCTGGTGCCAGGCAATCCGTGGCCCCACGCAGAGCCATTTTGTGGTTTTGGGGGTTATTTTGGTGCTGTGTGGGCTGTTTGGAAGGCATTCTGTTATTTTGGTGCCATTTCAGGTTGTTTTGAGGTTATTTTGGGATCATTTAGTATCATTTTGGGATTGTTTCAGAGTTATTTTGGTGCCGTTTGGGCCAGTTGGAGCTAGACTGTCTGTGGGCAGGTTGGACATCATTTGGGCCTTTTTGGGGCTGCACCGTGGTCATTTTGGGGATTCTTTTGGGATGACAGTGTAGACACAACCTCAGCGCAGCGGCTGATGGTGAGGCAGACCTGCTGGGCGACGCGCTGAGGGGACGCGGAGGGCGGGAAAGCAGCGGGCAGGGGCGGCTCGAGGAGGAGGCGTGGCTTGAAGAGTCCCCGCCCCCCCGCTCAATATAAATCGAAGCGGCGGCGGCAGCGGCCCTAAGCGGGAGCGTGTCCCGCAGGGGCGGCCATGGCGGCGCTGCGCTGCCTCCTGCTGCTGCTCTGCGGCGCTGCGCTGGGGCCCGCCGTGCACCTCGACTTCGCCGAGCACCGCAGTCAGGCGGCCAAGATCAAGGTCAACCCCCGCGGCAACCTCTGGGCCACAGGTACCGGGGGCCCGCGGGGCAGAGCGGCCGGGGCGAGGGTCGGTGCTTGAGGCTGTGGGGCCGGGACTGGCACGGCGGCCCCGTGAGGGGCGGTCGGGGCGGGCTCTGGTCACGCCGTCTCCTGAGGTCTCCGTCTGAGGAGTCGCAGTTCCTTCGGAGCGGGGCCACCCCGGCTGTGCCCGGCACTCCTGCGGGCGGAGGTGAGGGGCACGGTTCTCTCGGCGGCTCCTGGCGCCGAGCCGCTGGTCCTTTGGCCATAGAGATCCCGTCGGCAGGAGGAGGGCTCCCTGGGCGAGCCCCCGGGGCTGCTGGGCTCTTCTAGGCGTTCGGTTTGCTTGCTGCTGCTTGTCAGGTCGTCAGCGTGCGGTACGGATGACAGCCTGGTTCTCGGAGGTCCCGGCGCCGGGCGTGAGGCACACGGACGCGCTGTGTTGCAGGTCACTTCATGGGGAAGAAGAGCGCGCCCGGCACCCCGCACCTGGACGAGCTGCGGCAGCCGGCGGTGCCGGTGGCTTTTGGCCCCTCGCTCAGAGCTTTGCTGGAGGACGTGGTGGAACTGCTTACCCGGGAGCTCCTGAAAATCCTCTTGCAAGAAAGACTTTTGGATGAGAACCAAAGAAAATACGATCTCACTGACCAGGTGAATATTGGCTGGTATGGAGGGAGATGCCCAGAGAGGGGAGGTGGTGGAGATGGAAGCACCTGCGCTGCTGCTGGAGGTCCTGCTCTTCCTAGGATTGTGCCCAGCTGAACAACAGGGGCTTGTTGTCCTGATGTTTGGAGGGCTGAGTAGGGGATGAGGTGATCTCCAGCCCAGGGGTTGTTAAGGAGCATCTGGATCCTCCTCTGCAGACGAGGGTAGCTGGCTGCTACAGCTGCCACGTGTGTCCCTTTATCCAGCCGTGGTGAGGACGAGGAGTGCAAATCCTGCGTCCTCTCTCTTCATAGAAAAAGGTCAAGAGAGACACTGCTCTGTATGTGCAGGAAGAAGAGTCTGTCCTGTAAAAAGGTTTTAGTCTTCTAATTCCCCTTTCTGGGGCTGTTTTGCTGTGGTTAGGGTGCCATGAGAGGGCGCGTGATGTTGTTAGTTTGGCCTGCAGAGAGGTGAGGTGTGTGTTATTTTGCTGCAGAACAGGTGTTTGGGAGCAGTCACGTGCCCTGTCTACAGCAGGGGCTCCTGTACCACGTCAGCAGATCCTCACCTTCTTCTTTTTAGTTCCATGGTGTGGTTTTTCCCTCAGGGCTTTCCCAGCTCCTAGTGGGAAGTTAGCCCCTGGGAGCAGAGCATGCACAGTTCCTCACATGGAGGAGATGGAATTGCTTGGGCTGTGTGCTTCTGCCCATTTGCTGCCTCTTGTATGTTTCAGTGGTGTACTTTCTATTCACGGCAGGAAGTAATGGAGAGTCTAGAAGAGATTAAATCCTCATAGGTGTGTACTGTGTGCGTTCCCACTGAGCTGCCATGCTTGAGGAGCCATTCAGTAGCTGAACAGGTAAAGCTGTTTCTGTCATCTAGAAGCACTGATTACGCAGTGCTTGCTCCTGTTTGCTTTTTGGGATAGGCACAGGTGGAGAGGAGCTGCAGGGATGTGAGCCTGAGTGATACTGACTGCTCAAGGACCTCCCTGATTGAATTTCATCAGATTTAGGTAAACTGAGGATCTCCTGGCAAATTAATCCCCTTGGGACAGAAGATACAGCTGGAGATGGAGACAGAGCTAGAACCCAGTGCTGGACATCAGCCTTTGGTACATGAGCTGCTCAGTGCCCACCCGGTGCCTGGGTGTGAGGTGGCACCCCATTCCTGGGTGCCTGGCAGGCAGTTGGCTCCTACCTCACATCAGTTCCTTCCAGAACCTCACAGCTCTCCTGCCTCAATCTGCACATGGGCACCTTGCTCCCAGCTGAGTCTTAGATCTGTTTCTGTCCTTCAGGTACCCTGAGCATCTCTGGACTAGCTTCTGCCTCGCTGCTCCTTTTTTCCCACTACTCATCCCCTGGGGCATCCATGCCTCTGAGCTGCTGGTTGATATTAATTCTCCGTGATGCCTTTGATCGCTGTTGTGGTTATACTTTTCTATGGGACCTTCTTTTGCTCTTGTTGGGGTGACATGACAGCAGCATAAATTCCTCCTGCTGTTCCTGCTTTCTCCTTCCCTGTGGCTGTTGTTGGACACCTGGGGTCACAGCCAGCCTGTGCTTGAGCTGGTGTGTGTGTGCTGTGTTTGCCACCTGCCTAAGAAGCTGCTTAACAGCTTTGTGCTGTGAAACTCTGTACACCCTCTTCTCAGGGACTGTCAGTTCCATCCTGAAGCAGTTTAGAAAAGCAAAGATGCTTCTCCCTTCCTGTTGGTCAGCGGGGCAAGAACTAATGTGTTAAGTGCTGTTCTGGTGCTTCAGCACAAGAGCTGTGCTGCAGGATAACTGTCAAGGGAACTACTGTTCAAAAACTGAGCAGACCTTTTACATTGAGGAAGTATCACTGATCATTCATAAACTGGTTCTCCCTTTCTGTGGGCTCCTATAAACATTAAACAAATCCTTTGCTTCATGTGGGCTGGTCCTGCCTGCTGCTAATGGGATTTGTCTCAAAATGTCTCTCCACAAAGCAGGCTCCCACACACCATTCCATGCAAGTTATAGGAGAAGTCTTGCAGAACAGGAGAGGGCTGCAAATGGGGATTCTTAATCTTTTTAACCACATGCAGTAGGCAGGGCTTGGCTCTCAGTGTGCTGGGGTTTCACAGTGCCGTCCCAGGGCCGTGCCGATGTGTGCGATATCAGCTGAGGTGGCACAGGGGAGTTGAGGCTCACAATTGTGCTTTTTCTTGCAGGAGACTGGGCTTTTAACAAAGGTGCTGGAGAAGTATCTTTCAAACTGAAGAAGCGCAGCAGTGAAGGATGAGGTCAGCAGGCTAAGCTGTGCATGGCAAATGGAGGAGAGCATCATCCTTGTGGGTTACTGTAGCAACATCACTTTATTTATTCTTTCTGTAATACTGTTAATAGTGATTGCTTGTATGAAAAGCAGATCCTCCCTGTATATTTCCTGTATGTTTTCTGCTTCCTTGATGTCTGATGTGCCCCTGTGAATAAAACCAGCTCTTTGCAGATGCTAGCTCAGACTCTTTCTTGAGAATGGAAAGGCAGACCCCATGGTTTGTGCAGGAAGAATGCAGAATGGAAAAAGGCTCCTGCTTATCATCAGCCAGGAGGTGATAGGCTATGTTCCCTGCAGCCCCGCTTATTGATCTAACACAAAATTACAAACTTAGTAAGTTCTTACAGCACTTGCTACTGCAGCATCGTAATGCTTCATCGTTCTTTGACAGTCCTGGCTACCAGGGATGTCCCAGTGGACTGGAGACTGGCAAATGTGATGCCCATCTTCAAAAAGGACTGGAAAGATGATCCTGGTAGCTACAGACCTATCAGTCTCATTGCTGGGGGAATCACCTCATTGCTGGGGAAGGTTATGGAGCCATCATGGACCAATTAAAGGTCAACCACGGGATCAGGCCCAGTCAGCATGGGTTTACAAAAGGTAGATCCTGTCTGACAAACCTGATTTCATTTCAGGCTGTCGATGTGGTCAACCTGGACTTCAGTAAAGCCTTTGACATTGTCCCCCACAGCATCCTCATGGAGAAGCTGGCTGCCTACAGTTTGGATGGGTGTACACTCTGCTGGGTGAAACACTGGCTGAATGGCTGGACCCAAAAAGTCAGTGGAGTTAAATCCAATTGGCAACCAGTCACAAGCAGTGTTCCCCAGGACTCAGTCCTGGGGCTGTTTCTATTCAATGTCTTAATTAATGATCTTGATGAGAGGATTGAATGCACCCTCAGTAAATTTGCAGATACCACCAAGTTGGGAGGGAGCGTTGATTTCCTAGAGGGGAGAAAGGCACTACAGAGGGACCTGGATAGACTGGATGGATGGGTCAGGGTTAACTGTATGAGTTTCAATAGGGCCAAGTGTAAGGTCCTGCATTTTGGTCACAACAACCCCAGGCCTCCCCAGGCTTGGGGGGGAGTGGCTGGAAAGCTGCCTGATGGAAAGGGACCTTGGTGTACTGATGGACAGTTGACTGAATATGAGCCAGCAGTGTGCCCAGGTGGCCAAGAAGGCCAATGGCATCCTGGTTTGTATCAGGAATGGTGGTGAGCAGGACCAGAGAAGTCGTCCTGCCCCTGTGCTCAGCACTGGTGAGGCCTCATCTCGAGTACTGTGTTCAGTTTTGGGCACCTCAGTACAGAAAGGACATGGAGGTGTGTAGCAGGTCCAAAGAAGGGCAACAGGGCTGGGGAAGGGCTTGGAGAATATGGCCTGTGAGGAGAGACTGAAGGAACTGGGGAGGTCTGGGGAAGAGGAGGCTGAGGGGAAACCTTATTGCTCTCTTCCAGTAGCTAAAAGGTGCTTATAGTGAGAGCGGGGGTGGTCTCTTCTCACTGGTGACAGGAGGGGAAATGGCCTCAAGTTGTACCAGGGTAAGATTAGGTTGGATATCAGGAAATGCTTCTTTACAGAAAGGGTTGTGAAGCACTGGAGTGGGCTCCTCGGGGAGGTGGTTGAGTCACCATCCCTGAATGTGTTTAAAAAGCATTTGGATGTGGTGCTCAGGGATATGGTTTAGTGGAGGGTTGTTAGAGTTAGGGTAGTATGGTTAGGTTGCAGTTGGACTTGATGATCATTAAGGTTTTTTCCACCTGAGTGATTCTATGATTCCATAAGCTCTCCTGCTGGAGTGTACTTGCTTTAGGATGACCGTGTGGTATGCTTGCAATGTGTGCCCATGGCTAAGCTTTCATGTGTGCACAGGCGTGGCCCCAGGGTCCTCTGGGACAGCTGAAGGCAGGTTGTCTTTTTATTAACTTGTTTTTATGATGTGTTTAGAACAGTGAGTGTATTGTCTTCAGAGGTGCAGAAGGCTGGAAAGCAAACAGAGAAATTTCAGAATAAGGTTCTGTACCTTCTCAAAGTGCTGTTCGTATTCTGTCCCCCAGCTACCCTAGGCATGTCCCCAACCAGAGCTAAATCTGACACCAGGTGCCTTAAGTGAAGCTGTAATCTCTCCCCTGCATCCTTCTGATAATGCATTTAGCCTTGACCTCTGCAGGGGGCTGCTCTGAGCTCCTGCTGGGGAAGAGCCTTTCTCCCAAGTGCATGCAGGCCATGTTGTACCAAGGCATGATCCATGCCTGGATCAGCGTTAGGATCCTTCAACCTTCAAGGGAGTGGGACCAAGCCAAGGGGAAGTTTTCCAGGAAGGTGCCTCTTTTCAACTAATTTCTCCACACACTTGTTGCTGCGTGCTGAGAGATGAGCAGCCCCCAGTCTGCCTTCTGTTAGCTGTAGCAAAGCCTTGGCTTATAAACTAATAACAAGCAAAAAAAATAATGACACAGCCTATCATATTTGATGCCGGAGCAGACCAGATGCCTGAGAGCTGGCAGTGTGACGGAATGGCAGCTGTATGGGATTTCTGACCTGATGCTCAGTTGTCTTGTGACGTGCCATGTTGCGGGACTGCCAGCTTACATCTTGCCCAGGGAGGTTTAAGGGAAGGCAGACAGATTTCTGGATGTCACAGCAGAAATCTGCCATGCAGCACCTTAGTGAGATCCTTCTTCTTTAACCCACCTAGCAAGAACTGCCCATCTTGTGCCTGTCTGCCTCCATCTCCCCCAGTCCCTGAGATAAAGACGAGTAGGTCATTTAGCAATTACTGTCACAGGCAAAACAAACTCAATTTGGAGAATTTAACTTAAACATTTATATTAAATAATTTATATTATATTATACAATTTATATTAAATTGAGTACTGATTCAGGTGCTGAGCAGGCTCAGAGTAAAGATGAAGATTGTGATGATGTGTCCCTGCTATGTGTAAGACTGGTCATCATGGAGAAACCATGCACTTTGGTGCTCTTAGAGCTCAAATTGACCTCTGCCATGTTCCCGTGACCATGGTTTTGCAGGATCTGAGCATGTTTGTAGTCTACCCACCTGCTCAAAGCAGGGTCAGCTCAGGGATTTGTCCATTTGGGTCTTAAAAAACCTCTGGGGCTGAAGGCTGTGCAGCCTGGTGCTGCACATGCAGCTTTATCACTGGGCTGTTTTCATTCTTTCTCCCATTCTGCCAAGCAGTCACTCAAGCTGAAGCCTCAAGTCCTTCTTCAATTTAAATTATAAATTGGTAATTTGTTCAGGTTTTTTTCAGCTTTGCACTTGTCCCCTTGTTGCTCTATGTTTCTGTTTGGAGCTCTCATGCCTCAACATTCTCCAGAACCTGCCAGCTGCATGCCATGAGCAGATCTGCTATTGTGGTCATTGACTTGACAGATTGCTGGGCTGCCCCTCAACCTTCACAGACCCTCAGCAGCTGCATCAGTTCAGAACATGGATGGCTTCATGGTGATCATGGCAGGTCTCCTGGACTTCCCTGTGGCCATGGCATGAGTGCAGAGATGGGAAAAGGAAGTGAAGCAAGATAAGAGGAAGGGAGATAAACCACCTTCTCTGCTGACATTTGTTTCCTTTCAGTTGTGGGACGGCCTGGTGAGGAGAAGCAGACTCAGATTGATATGGTTGAAGGTCCACTGCTACCACTTGGTGTCATTAGTGTTCCAGAGTTAGTGAAGTGCTCTCAGCCATGCTGTTAGTTGCATAGGACTGACTCTCCTACACCCTCAGCAAAAGTGTCAGGCCTCAGGTTGATGTGCTCCTTCCTCTGCATTGTTTTGTGCCCTCTCTTGCGTGGGAGACAAACAAGGCAGTGAAGTAGGGGGAGAAGGAGGCAAAAAGGAAATCAGCTTGCTGTCAGGAAGAAAAAATTAGGCTCCTAAATACCTTTGCCATCCCCCATGCTTCTCCAGAACTCCTCTCATGCTGATATGGCCTGGTAGCTCTGTGGCAAGGTCCATCTGTGACCCTGCTGTATGTGCACGAGGTGCTGCTGCTCTAGGCTAGAAAGACAAACCACCCATTTACAGACCCACAAAACCTTTCTATGGACTGCACTTGCAGCATTCATTCTTGAGCTTTCAGGCTTCAGTGGATGGAAAAGGATCTGGAACTGCAGGGACAAAACCAGCCCCAGAGAGCCAGGTAAGTGCCTTCCTGCAACTGAATGCTGACATCAGCCCCCAAAAATCATCAGGGTGATGATGTACAGAGAAGAGAGGTCTGACACGATGTCACTTTCAGTTTTTATGTATTTATTCCACACAACCTACATATGGTGGTAAGAACCAAGAAGGGAAATAAAATATTCAGGGATGAATTGGTGCCTCAAGCTTGTTTATAAAACATCATGAGTAGGATAAATGTGACATAGCAGATGATCACTGCTTTGTACAGCACTGGGAACTGCTCCGCAAGTGCCTTCACTCATCTGGTACTGAATCCACCACCCAGTACTGAGACCTTACTGGGAGCTGTAGAGTTGGCCAAATTACTGCATAATTGATGCTTTTTATGAAATGTATTTAGATCATTTCTACAAGAATGAGATGTTTTCCCAGTGCGGGAAGCCAATCAAAGCAATAGTTCAGAATTGCTTCTTCCTAATGTGGTGGGCAGAGGCATGTAGAGTAAGATTCCTCCTGAAAGTGAATTTAGGACGCTCCTTTCTCTTAATAAGGACAAACAAAACTCCCAGTGGAGCAGCCCTCAGGACTTTCCACTGCTTTGGAGAGAGAGATGCATGTTTTCCTGTTATACTGCATGCTATTGGCCTTTTTCAGAAGAGAGACCACTAGAGACCTCCATCCAAGTTTGGGTAGCACAGTGCTGTGTGTTAATTTCAAGGATGATGTGGAGATGTTAGACACAGGAAAAATGGGTATTGCTTTAATCAGGCCTCTGAAAACAGGGATTAAGAGAGAAAGCTTATCTCTAAATTGCAGCCTGGGATGAAAGTGCTAATTATCATGCAGTACATCATTAACAAGACCTAGAAATGCTTGAGAAGGGTCAACTCCCTCTCCTGACGTCAAACTGAACCCCTGGAAGGGATTCTCCAAGCTGAGACAGTAAAATCTACTTCAAGGCAACCCCTTACTTAATATGAGCACTGTTTGCAGTTCCCGTGGGGTAAGACATAGATTCTCTGAGTAAGGATGGAGATATTAAGGAAAGTAACCAGGTTTCTGTGATCTGGAGCTCCAAGAGCACATGCTGAGAGCATGAATGCAGCTGGACCTTGTGATGGTCAGGCAGCCCCAAGCATGATGGACTTTCTGACATGTGCCTCTGAAAGTTCCATTGGTGACCCATTCCTCTCCTACAGTGTTTTGGTGGCTCTTGGAAGGAGCAGAATGCTGGATACTCAACACAATTTCTGGATGAAGTATTCCTGACAGCGTAGTTAAAGTCCCTCCTGTGTCAGTTCTCACTAGGAGGATGGTGGCACCCTATGGTAATCCTACTCCACTGACAGCTTTTTCCTGACCCCATCCCTCACCCAACTTGCTAACCTTGACACTTTTCTCAATTCATGCTTGGTGCTCCTCGGAGCAAAATAATTGCTCAGGAAGATCCTGGTGCAGTGGTTGACTTTTCCCAGGACAAGGACATGTGTCCGAGCATTTGTACCTGCTCCGCTTCTGGCCCTGCACAGGATCATGCTCTTGCTTCCAGAGTTTTGCACTAAGATGAACAATGAAGCAACCCAAGCTGGCTTGCTTTACTGTATACATTCTGGGCATCCCCAGCTCATGGGCCAGTAGGAAACGAGCCTAGTTTATCAGATTTCTGAATGTGGAATGTAATCATAGAGATAGAGAAAGTGAAGCTTTAAGAGCGATATTTGATATTTGAGGCATTTCTCCTCTCCCTGGTCAATGACAGTACCCAAGCCAGTAAGGCCAGGCAGTAGGTGCACCTGGCAGGAGCTGGGAATGGTGGAAGAGGTGGATGTTTGGTCAAAGCTGCTCCCTATGTCTTCAGGATTACTCCCCAGGAAGTGGGTGGGCAGGGGTACGACCTGTAGGATGACACAAGTTGGAGGTATGATCACTCTGTTCCCCAAACCAGGCTACTGGACAGTGCTGGGATGAATCTGCTGAGGATGGAGGCCAGTCAGGACCTGAGCCAGGCAGCAGTCACAGGGAGGGGATAGAAGTCATGCTGTGCTCTGTCTCTCAGTCAAACTTGTTTTACAGGTCTTACATGCTGAGATGTCAGGTCTTTTCCCCCATCTTTGGATCTGCAGCGTCTCTGGATCCCCACCAACTTCAGTGCCCTGTGGCAGATGCATCTTTTCTCATCTGGTGGGCACCCCATGATGGAAAAATCTTATTAGGGTTTCACATGGGCTGGACAATGGGAAGTCTTTCCCTGTGCCACCCAGACCTCTTCCAGTGACAGGATGTTGGGTGGGGGGACGTTGGTTGTTTCTACCTTAACAGAGCCCTAGCTTGATGCCAGATGAAGTTATCTATGCTCAAGAACAGGACTGAGGGGCAATGGAGACAACCAATGGGGCAAAGAGACTCCTGGACATTAACTACACCTTTGGCACCAAGGGTATGGGCATAAATCCCTACTGGAGATCTTCTGGGCTCTGCTGATCCCCTGTCCAACTTTTGTGTCGCTGTCACCTTGCCTAGTAACCAAAGGTTTGGATGGGACCTTACTGGAAAAATTCCCCTGGAGATGGAGTCTGGTGCATGGTCAGTGGTGGTAGCCATCCCCAGCCAGGATGCACTGCTGGATAATGCATTTTATGGGGACAATGGCACTTATGGGGGCTTTGAAAGGAGATTTGCCTTCCAAAGGAGATTGGCGGTCCTGGTGTCTTTCTGCCTTTAGAAAAAAAAAAAAAAAAAAAAAAAAAAAAAAAAAAGCTGGATTTTTAATGGGAAAAATGGAGGAAAAGAAGGCAAAGCCCTCCAGGACTGCTCACTTCTGCAGCTCCACAAGATGCCACACCATCCCTTCGCTTCTTGCATCCTGCCTGTCCTGGGGTTTGGCAGCAGTTGGAGGAGGCGGGACACAGCATACAAATTCGGGAAGAAACATGCCAGGCTGGCTTCTTGCCTGCCGCCCTGGAGGCAGAGTGGGAAGGTGAAGGCAGCAGCTCAGAGCAGCTGCTGGCCCAGGGGATCAGTGGGTGCTCCGGCATTGGCCACAGCAGAGGTAGGCACTGCATGGGGTGCAGGGGTTTCTGCTTGACTGGTCTCTCGTGGATAGGGGTGTTGTTGGGCAGCATCTTGGTGAAATCAAACCTGAGGGCATACCCAGGCATTGCAACAGAGATCCCTGCAGTTTGAATGTTCTCTAGGGAGAAGGGAGGGCTCCCAGGGGCCTTTCATCAGCTCATGATGGTGATGCTCAGAGAGGGGGATTGAGGTGCTTGACCCTATACAGAGTCAAAGAGGGAGGGATGACCATTCAGAAGGACTGGCAAAAACCATTGAACCCCCACCCTCCCTGGAGATGTGCACTGGTGGTGGTGCCCAATACCCTGGGACAGAAGCAGGAGATGGCTCTGTGGGGCAGACTGGGTCAGAGTACATATGGGCAGATGACGTATCCATCAGTGATGTGCTCCTGGAGGCTCTCAGTGCTGATTTCAACCCCTGAAGCAACAGGATGACTCTGTGGGATGGCTCCTTCCCCTTCTACCCTGGCACCAATGCTTGCTTCCCCTTCGACACCACCTGGGCCATCATTGCCTCCGTCTTCCTCTCTGCACTGGTCACTTCCATCATCATCCTGCCAGGCATCCGTGGCAAAGGGGTAAGTGGAGGGGCTAGGGGAACTCAGCCCTGTGTTGGATAGAGCCTGAGTGCCACCTCCTTCCCTGCATTTACGGCAGGCCTAGGGAGCAAATGTGCCTATGGGGCAGGGACCTGCTGATGGCTGGGGCTGAGGGATCTCAGACACAGAGGTGAGCTCCAGCCCAGCTCCCATGCTGGAGAGGCCAGACTTCACCACCCCAAATTTATAGTCGGCTCAGATCTGAGCTTGGCAAGCTCTCGGCTAGATTAGTGAATGATTTCACTGGGTGAGGCACAAAGGGCTTGCTCCACCTTCCTCAATCCCCAAAAAACAGACAGTGTGCAGTGTGCATGCCTCAGCACCACTTACTGAGCCCCCTGGGGATGCATGGCAAACTCACCTAGCCCTACACCACCACTCTTGCTTGCCAGGAGCCTGCTGGAAAGGCATTTCCCACCCAGCAAACCTCCAAACTGCTTTTGTCTCCAGCTGTGGCCAGATTCCAACACATGGAAACACATAAGGCTTGGTTAAGTGTGGAAACTTCAACTCAGGACTATTAAAGGGAGTGTCTATATCCTTCCCGGAAAGGGGATGGGCACAGTTTTCTCAAATAGGATGATCTGACCTTCTTGCTCTGCCTCAGCCTCCATGCTGCCCATGACATGGAAGGGATGCCTAAGCCATGGGTCCTTTCCCTGTCCTACTCACCTGTGGAGCCCATGGGGTTGCCCCAAAGTGAGAGAGGGGTCTATTTCTGATGGAACTTAATCAAAGCTGAGCTCCATGTCACAAAATCTGAGTATGTCCCCAACTCTGCTTTCCACTTGCAGCGGCTCTTCTGGCTCCTGCGGGTGGTGACAAGCCTCTTCATTGGAGCAGTGGTCCTCAGTGAGTATGGGGGTCTCAGTGTGTTCAGAGACAGGTGGGAACAAGGAGTGCAAGGACAGACAAGGAGAGCAACGAGGAGCAAGGTGGGAGGGTGAACAGAACAGCTGAATCCATCTTGCAAGATGAGCTCACAAAGAAGATCAACCCAGTTCAGTGCCCAGGATCTGGGCCCAGCAGGACAATCAGAATCACAGAATATCCTGAGTTGGAAGGGACCCACAAGGGTCATCTAGCCCAACTCCTGGCTCCACACAGAATTACATGAAATTCAAATTGTATGTCTAAAGGCTTCTTGGATTAGCAATGATAGAAAGCACAGACACTCAGACACCTCCTCTCCAAAGGTTGGTGGACCACTACTGGTGTCCTATCTGCCAGGAGATCCAGACAAACTGGCTGTAGTTAGAAGATCAGTGCCTGGATGGTGTTCACAAGCCCCGTTGCCTGAGGGGCTGGGAACTGAGCTGAGCATGGGGAGAAACAATCCCAAATGGGGCTCCTGTGGAAGTGGGTAGGTGCTGGGGGAGGTACGTGCATGGACCATGCTTCTCTGCTCAAAATCTTGCTTATAAACCAGGCCTTGCCTTTGGAATGTTGTTTGGGCCATGGTGACACTCACAGTATGTCCTTCCAGCATACATTGTCCCTAAGATGTCTGCTCACCAGGACATAGTTAACCCATTATCTTTACAGCCATACAGTTCACCAGGGACTGGGAGAGCGGCTGGGTGACAGCCAACACCTCCTACAAATCCTTCAGCTGCGCCGTGGTGAATGCAGATATTGGGCTGCACATCGGCCTGGCAGGGGTGAACATCACACTGGTGGGTGAGTGTGTATCACAACCCAAAGAAATTGGACACAAGTTTGGCCACTGTCTACCCAGGTAGTGGGCATGCATACTGGGAAATCTTGGAGTTGCCTCCCAGGCTGGGAGAAGACCTCAGTCCTCTTCCTCTGGCAGGAAACCCAGTGCATCAGGTCAATGAGACCATCGACTACAACGAGCACTTTGCCTGGAGCTTCGATGCAGACTACGACCACAGCTATAGTGAAGGCCTGGAGAAGGGGCTGCCCAGCCCCATCCTCTACGTGGCGGAGAAGTTCACCACACAAAGCCCCTGCAACGTGCACAGGCAGTACCGCATCTCCAGCCGCTATGCATCCATCACACTGTGGTAAGGTGGAACAAGGGGTAAGTTCTGCTTCTGCTCAGCTGTAGGTAGAAAGGTCTGAGAGCATCTCCATATGTCTCAGAGGTCGTGGGAAAGATGCTGCAGAGAAGAGTGGTTTGGCATTCCTCATAGGTGCGTCAGCAGCCAGGCCCAGCCCATGTCTCCTTCTTCATGATCAAGAAAAATAACAGGCCATGCCTAAACCTCCCTGTCATTGAGAAGCTGGTTATCTCAAGGCAAGGACATCGATTTAAAATGATTCTGCCTTATTGTTCCTGGATTCAGAACAATTTCTTAGATTCACCTCCCCGGTAAGCTAAACCCAAGCCCTGTGCACAGGGCAAGGCTGAGAGCTGTGCTCACTATAGCTGCTGAATCAGATCCAGGCAGGGCTCATGGTGTGATTCTTCTGACAGAAGTCTCCTTGCTGCCCTTTTCCCTTTGAATAGATAGGAAACATCTGGGGCTGGCCAGTTATGAAGGACTACAGGGTCAGACAAAGGTACAATTTGGAAGGGGCTCTTTGAAGGTCTCCACTTGAGCCTCCTGTGCAGAGTAAACATATCAGAGTCTCAAGTAGTTCAGTGCTGAATGTCCCCAGGTATGAAGAACCCTCTTCACCACTACAGGAACTGACATGCCCACATACAGTGCTTTCAGCTCAGTTTTTGTGATCCTTTCATAGGATGGCCTTATGCACCTGGCTCATTTCTATCCTGCTCTTCTCCATGCCCATCCTCCTTTACGGCGGCTACATGCTCCTGCTCACTGCTGTGCTGATGTTTTTTTCACTGCTCTTCTTTGTCACGGTGAGGAACATCCCAAAGTGTCCCATCCTGTTTGGGCCAGCCTCCCTGAAAACAGATTACGGCAGATCTTTTTGGCTGACATTAACAACAGGTGAGTGCTTATCTGGGGCTTTTGGTCTCCATTCCTGCAGTGACAATACCTCAGCGGTACTTCATCTACTCTCATATGAGAGACCAAAATCATCTGTGTCTTGAGCCATAAAATCAGGGAGAGACTTGGTTTGGAAAGACTTTCTGGGATCTCTCATGCAGCAGGATTAATGTCAAAGCCTCTCAGGTTGTCCAGGGCCTTGTTCAGGCTTCTAGTTGATGTACCCATGCATCAACCCTTTGCCTTTCAGAATCATGGATGGTCCTTTCTACCTCCTGGGGATGTCCCATGGCTTTTCCATTCATTGGCAGAAGGTGGCAATTAGGTTCCCCTGAAGGCTTCTCCTTTCCTGGCTAAACAAACCTACCTCCTCCAGCCATTCCCCATACGTGGTGGGCTTCAGACCTAACTGTCTGGGCCCTCTGCCGCAGCTTATTAACTTCTTTTTTGTACTGGAGAGCCCAGTTGTGGAGCTGTTGTAGGAAACTGGGAACAGAAATAATCCCTTGCCTTGACCTCCCATGTGATGCCATATCCCAATGGCCTCTATCCCCTCTGGTCCCCATCCCTAGGCTGTGGCTGTATGGCCTGGAGTGCATTTGGGGACAATGCATCTCTCCATGCTGTGTGTTTCAGGGCTGCTCTGCCTGCTGCTGGGACTGAGTGTGATTGTTCTCAACTCTGTGCACCCTCAGAAACTGAAGCTTGTTTTCAACCTGGACGAGGGAAAGAGAGAAGAAGTAGATGGGTGGGACAAGTCCCACCTGCCAGCTGAGTCCAGCTCCTCTGAGCAGGACATACTGATGGTGTCCCTGGGTGAGCTCTGTGAGGTTACAGCCACCAAGCTGTGAGGCAAAAACAACATAGTCTTGGAGATCTCCTTGACATGGAAGCTAAACCAAAAGAAACTAGAGAGAAATCAAATATATATAATAAACATACAAGTATAAACCAAAGGAGAAGCAACCCCTACACATATCCCAATAGCACACTCACCCCAAAAGGTCTGCCAGAAGCCCACTCTGCCCAACAATGCTCTTCACATTAACAGGTGGAGAAGAAAGAGCAGAGCTGTGGGCACTAAAGTACCCTGTATTCAGCACCTGCTCTTGGTCTGGAGTGAAGGATGGGTTGGCAAGGAATCCCACCAATTAGCAGGATGTTGGTTGCACCAAACCTTGGAGATTTCTTCAGTGTTGGAAGTACCAAACCTTGGAGGCATCCTAAATGTTGGAGGCACCAAGTCTTGCAGAATTCTTGCATGTCAGAGATACCAAACCCTAGAGACCTTCCAGATATCAAAAATACTAAATCTTGGAGGCTCCCGGGATGTCAAGGATACATATCAGATGTCAAAGGCAAAAACATCAGTTGAAGATCATGAAATGTGATTTACCAAGACTCTTGTGGCCTTCTGAAAGGAAGATAAAATGTTTTGGTGGGTGGGAAGGAAAGGACAAAGAGGGGGTGGAAGTGCATACCCCAGTTCCCCCGTCCCTGTCTGTAAACAGTTTGCAGGAGGAGAGTACCTAGAAGTACCTGGTTTCATGCTGCTTAGTTGCCCACTTGTTATGGAGCGTGCAAATATGTAATCCTACAGACTCACAGTGGATGTGGCCAACTACTCCTGGCTGCTGGTGGCTAGCAGGTACCTTGGTCATGCAGAGTGTGTATTTCAGGTTTGCATTCCTTTAACTCTGTGCAGGCTTTTCAACAACATTTTTCTGTTTTGTACTCACTTACTGTCCCTTCTGTCTCAATAAAGTAAGCTGGACCTGATCTTTCTCTTGTATGTCATTAAAAGAATCCCTGAGTGCTGATAGGCTAGGGATATGCTGATCCTTTGACATGATGATCATAGGAAAGGGAAGAAGTGACAGCGTTGTTGTGGCCCCACATCTGACAGTGGCTGATTAGCTCAAGGCAATAGGGGCAACTGGTAAGTAGAATATCAGGGAAATAATCAACCAGGATATGGGAAGGTTGGAGTGACCCTGGACGTGAGGAGGTCTTGATGAGAGCAATCCCCAGACCAGCATAGGGAAGACCATTGTGCAGGGCCCTCAGGGAAGGTGTGCTCAGGCATGGTAACTTGTCCCATCCCTCTCCAGATGGAAAGCGCTTCAACAAGGACCTTAAGGCATTTAGAAACACGTCAGAATGGAACTCCTTGAGTTTTCAAAACTTCAGCTAGGACATTCCCTATGGCATCTACTAGGAGGTGCTTCAGCCTAAAGATCCAAGGTGAAACAGAAGCCTTTTATCCATTGAATGGAAATTCAGCCCTCGTAAACCTCTGCCTTTCCCAGTGTGTCCCCATTTGCAGCCCATCCCGGCAGCAGTCAGCGGGCAGCTCTGGTGCCTGCTAAGTGGTGTGGTGGCTGCATGTCCCAGGGCACTGTGTGCCTTCAGGCATGAGGACCACGATCCTCGCAGAGCCCCAGGGACATTTTGTGGTGTTTGCTCTGTTTGCTGGCACAGGCTGTCTGGCTAGATTCCCTGTGTCCAACAAGCCAGGTCTGCATAGCATGGGATCAGAAAGCCTGGGCTGAGAGCCAAGGCTTTGCTGGCAATTACTTTGTGTCTCACTGTCCAACAGCATCTTGACTCAGCCAGGAAACCGGGATCTGCAATGGGTGGAAGAGGCAGGACCTGCAGCAGTACAGCCCAGGGGCCACACAACCCCAAAGTTTCTCAAAGGCATCGTTATCCATGCTGAATCTCATCCTTTCTGGGGATGCCTTCGTCAGGGCAGCCACCCCATGGAAGGATGCCACTGGTGGGTACTCAAAGGCATTTGCCTGCAGACAAGCCCCACAGCTCCCACTGAAGAAATCAGCCCCATAAAATGCCCCATATGTTTTCAAGAAGTAGTCTTCAGTAAAAAATTATTAATACCAATAATTCTTGTGAGCAACAAATCACACCAAAGCAACACAAACATCGTGTGAAAGGAGAAAGTAACCTAATGAAACAGCAAGACTCCTTCCTCAGCATCCAGATATGACCACCTCCTTGCACGTGCCAATGCAAGTCTCACAGAGCCAGTAGGTTTGTGCCAGAGTTCATCTTTTGTTTGTAATAATGCAACTTGATGCACTCAATTTTTCACGTTGGCTACAGGCAGGCTGGGGCTGACTCAAGGCTGCATTTTGTGATAAGCCCAGCCAGCCCAAGTGTGCTCCACTTGAATGGAGCCCATCCAAGAGAATGGGTGTAATTGCACTCTTCTCTCTCCTGTTTTTCCCAAGGCATCTTTTTGGCCTGTGTTAGGCTACAATTCTTATCGAATAAAACCCAAGTCTGAAAGTGAAAATAATCACGTCACCACATTCCCCCTGGCGCGCTCCTCAGTATGTTTACTCAATCTTTAATTTTGTAGCCATCTTTTATACTCTGGCTCATGCAGCATACAGCCTGAGGGAGTTTGGGTCTGTGCCTGGCTTTCCTAGGAACATCTGAAGGTCTACATTAGACGTCAGTGCTTGGGAAAGAAAGACCAAGCGTGTTTGATTGCTGGCTGTTGGAGTAGTGAGCATCCTCAAAGAGAAATCTTACCAGTATGGGAAATCTCACCCACTGGTATGGGAACTGGCCATCAGAAACCCCCTGCACCAAGCTGTGGCAGGGCATAGAGCAGGAATGGGAATTACTTCTCAGGCAGGTGAGTGTGCAGCTCAGGTTGCTGGAGGTCTGAGCTATACTGCCTGCAGCCTGCTGGCTCACTGCAAAGCTGCCCTTGTCCTGGAGAGGACAATCAGGGATTGCAAAGGTAGTTCTGAGCAAGTCCTCATCCTAACATGGACTCTTCAAAGGCAACTACATGGATAGATGAGTCTCAAGAGACAGCAAGGCGGGTCTGTGCTCTGTGTTCTTTGGCCCACCTTCAGGTAAGGAGTAGGAAAACTTTTCTTCTAGATGTCATTAGGGGTAAGTTTGGAGGACTGAGGAGGAGACAGAGTACTGTTCATGAACTGAAGGTTGACATACACTTCAGTCATCTCTTGATAGTCTTCTGCTTTGTCCTCATGGAGATCAAAGAAAGTTTTCAGTAGGTCAGAGTTGAAGTAGTGCAGTGCAACAACAGTGATCCCAGCCACAAAACAGAGCAAGCCTGGAAAACAACATGCTCTCCATGAGCAATCCTGTAAATGTTAGCATATTTCCCACCCCATATCCGTACTCCAATGGCCTCAAACCAAAGGACGCCTTCTCTTACGGACAATGGCCTTCTACTCTATTAGGTGGTTTCAACTGCTGTGCCGACCACCATAAAATCCAAGAACAAGTCTTAAAACTCAGCCAGTTGATCCTCAATTCTTTGCGCTGCTGCAACCCAGGAGCTAAAAATCACTCCATCACCCTCAAGACAGTGATGCTTCTCCCAGTTCTGCCAGCCCTCTCCGTACCTCTGCTGGGAGCTGCTGTGTAAAGACACAGGGTAAGTCTAAACTGGGCTGCAGTCCCAAGCTCCCTCACCTCCAGTGGTGAAGAGAAAGACCTGGGGCTCTTGCACACCCAGGGGGGACATGGCGGTGGACCTAAAGTAGCTTGATGTACTTACCAACTGCTAGTGTGAGCCAGAAAGATCCCCCATAGCCTATCTGCAGGGATGTGGTCCCAAATTGGATTGGGCACACCAGGGAGTTCCTCACAGTGGAGAAGGAGAGCAGTGAGAAGATCATGAAGGCTCCTGTGATCAGGGTCATGTACCCTCCATAGACAGGCATGGAGAAGAGCATGTTGGAGATGAGCCAAGTGCAAAATGCCACCCTAGAGACAAGAGAAGACCAATGGACATGATGTGCAAATGCCACTGACTAGGATGCTCTACATGAGGATTTCCAGGTGGGAAAAGAGATCTGGGCTCTTGGTTGCACTGCATGAGGTCAGGAAGCTCGGTGGGCAGGCTGAGCAGGGAGATGTGCAATGCTCATACTGCTACATCCAGAAAGCAAAAGCACAGATTGTATATCTACACCATCTCAGCTCCCTGCCCACCTAAGTGTGGTGCAGGGCAGACCACAGAGAGCAGCACATGGGACCGAGACACCTGTAGGAGTAGGTATAAGCTGTTTGCAGTAGCTCTGAACTTGCCTCAGGCTAGGTTACAAGGGAAGCCTTCAGCTGTGGTCCAGGAGCTCTTGCTCCTTGCACAGCGGTCTGAAAGCAGACCTCAATGAGCAGCCTCCACACACACGGCTCTCATTATAGCAACTTGCAATCGCCACCAACCGCTCACCACCCTGACAGGCGTAGGGACAAGGCCACATCCTGGCAGAGAAGGCCTCACCAGAGACTGGCCGATGCGTAGTGGCTGGAGATGCGGTACTGCCTGTGCACGTTGCAGGGGCTTTGTGTGGTGAACTTCTCCGCAACGTAGAGGATGGGGCTGGGCAGCCCCTTCTCCAGGCCTTCGCTATAGCTGTGGTCGTAGTCTGCATTGAAGCTCCAGGCAAAGTGCTCGTTGTAGTCGATGGTCTCATTGACCTGATGCACTGGGTTTCCTGCCAGAGGAAGAGGACTGAGGTCCTGCTGCAGCCCAGCAGAATGGGCACAGACAGCCAGGAGCATCTTGATTGACAAGAGGTTGTCCAGAAGCCTCCAGTAAAACCAAGGCCATTGAAAAAGCTCTTGGAGACCTCCTATGGTCTCTGCAGAGCTGGGACTGCAGAGAAAGGGACACGGCACTCACCCACCAGTGTGATGTTCACCCCTGCCAGGCCAACGTGCAGCCCGATGTCCGCATTCACCACGGCGCGGCTGAAGGATTTGTAGGAGGTGTTGGCTGTCACCCAGCCGCTCTCCCAGTTCCCCGTGAACTGGACAACTGCCAGAAAAAGTTTGATTAGGGTTAAAGAGGGGTTGCTCCAGGGCTTTACTGAGCTCAGGGTGGACCCGGGGCAAGCACAAGCTGCTGCATTCCCACTGCGACACTGCAAGGGAATGTAAGAAGGGCAGGAGAGATGACTCAGCCACAAAGACATGCCACAACCAGCCCCCACGCCCTGGCACAGCTCTCGTCCTCCTCTTGCTCAGCATCCACTCCCTCGGTCCTGCAGGCGGGGAGCTCCGATCCCCACAACCCGAATCCATTTTGGCCATCCTCTTTGGCACTTCCTCACGCACTCCCTACCATGGCAAGCACCGCGGCCCCGGGGGACCAGGCTCAGACATGAGCCCATTCCTCAGCTTCAGCAGCAGGGTGAGTTTCATTGCCATTGTTAAGCTCCCTGTTAAGCAGCTGATCACACTGCTAGTGAATAATAAAAATTCACTGGATTTTTTGTCAAATAGAGATGGTGGAGCAGGATGGTCTGTGCCACCTTTGCAGCTGGGAGAGAAGGAAGAATTGGAATCCTTTCTGCTATATGTTTTTATGGAAAAAAAAAAAAAAAGTTTCTTTTCTGAAACATTTCCACTTTGTGATGGACTTAATTTTCTGGCAATTATGTGAGCTGAAATTAAGGGTGAGGACTGGACCTCAGGCTGAACAAGACCTTTCAAATCTGCCTGAAGGTAAGCTGGGTCAACTTGTGAGAGCACTGATCCGGCAGCAGCTTCATGGGGACGTTTCCCAGCTGCAGCACTGAGTGTGCCCTGCTGCCTCTGGACAGAAATCCTGATGCTGGCTTTAAAACAATCAATTCCTCTTGTGTACCCAAGCAGCACCTGGCTGCATCCCTGTCCAGAGAGCAGCACTGGATGGCTCTCCAGGGCTGAGCAAGGGCTGAACGGGTTCAGGCTGTGGAGCAAGCTGCTGTCCCCACCCCTCCGTCAGCTGCAACGTGGCACTTCTGGTAACATCTCCCAGTGCCTGGATACTTCTGAGCAGAGGGTGACCACTGCAGTCAGGCCAGGCCCTGCAACCCATGTGTCAGGCAGCAGAGTGCTGTGGCCAGTCACAGTCTGGCTACGTACTTCTATCCTCAAGTTGACCTACGGCTTGTCATTTAGGTTGCGCCTCATCATCTTGCTCCAAGTGGCTTTTTGTTATCTGCCCTGGCCTTTAAAACCTTCCATTGGAGGGCTCCTGGGGACTTTCCTTGATTTTGTGTCAGGACTGGTTGCTTTCCCTGCCCATCATTTTCCCTCCCCTCCCTGCAGCTGCTGCCCATACACCCTGCAGCTCTGTCCAAATTTGAGATGCCCACAGCCTGGACCTTGCTGGTTCCAAGTATTAGTCCCATTAATTACAGAAGATTTTCTGCTCTTTGCCAATCAAATTCTCTCCTTCATCTCCCGCCTTGGAAAGTCTCTACCCCCTACTTCCATCCTGACTATATTTTGTTTTGTCTTACTCTCTCTACATCACTGCAAGGCTCTACATTTGTCTGGCTGCAGTCCAAGCTCCTTATCCATGCTCCCTTGGCACTGGGCTGTGCAGCTGGCTCCTCAGTGCCATTAGAACAGGCAAAGACTCAGAAGTACACATGGGCAAGCCAAGTGCTCGCAGCCCCTGTGTTGGGGTCAG